ACAATCAATATGGGAGGCTGCTTACTCTGCAGGTGGTTTCGGAGCCCCAAAGGGCAAAGTTATGCCTTGTAAGCAGTTTCAGAGCTCAAGCTGCAAAAGTCCCTAATGTTGGGTCACAAGGTATGATATTAAAGTTCTTATAAGTCCTCACACCTGTGTTTCTGACCAACTGGCTATAGATTGGAGGTTCCAACAACCCCATCCTCAGGTTCGATTGATTTGCTAGAGTGGCTCGCAGAATTCAGAGAAGCATTTCATTTACTAGATTATCAGTTTATTATAAAAAGATATAATTTAGGAATAGCCAGATGGAAGAGATGCATAGTGCAAGGTATGGTGAAAGGAATACAGAACTTCCATGCTCTCTCCAAGCGTGCCATTCTCCTGGAATTTCCGTGTGTTCTCTAACACAGAAAACCTGTGAACCCAGTCCTTTTCGATTTTCGTGGAGGCTTCATTACATAGGCAAGATTGATTGAATTATTGGCTCTTGGTAACTGATTCAACCTCCAGCCCCTCTTCTATCCCTGGAGGTCAGGGAGTGGGCCTGAAATTTCCAATCCTCTAATGCCCGCCCCATCCTCAGGGATAGCAACCTCTGTTAACAATTGGCTCCCTCGGTTAATAACCGACAGTTCCCTAATTTTTGCCCTTGTTTCTAACTTAGGACCAACTAGAAAAAGCCAAATATGCACCACTATCCAATCACATAAGATGCCCTTCTTAAAGTTAGCCTACCTGCAGCTTCCTTATGCCAATGGCCTCTAATAGCCTTAGGGCACATATTCAGCCTTTCCTTTTTTCTATTATTAATCTTTTCTACTCCTCTGCCTGCTTTTGAGTCTCTGCCAAAATTTAGGCAGTAGTGGCTGACTCTCTCACTATAGCAAGCTCTGCATAAATAGCCTATGCCTATTCTCATTTGGTTGGTCTTCGTTTATTTCTGGAAACCCCAATACATTAGTTTTGTGTCTGAATTGTTATGTTGTAAAATTCATTCATATTATGTAGAGATGTCATTAGTTCATTTTTATTGATATATGACTATCACAAATTATTTGTTTTACTGTAAATGGCTGTTTGGTCTCTTTCCAGCTTTGGACTTTTAGGAATAAAGCTGCTGTATAAATTTGTACATGTCGTTTGGTGAATACAGCATATGTCTATATGGAACTGCTGGGTCATAGGTAGATGTAGTCAGCTTTAGTAGATACTGCCAAACAGAAGTATAATCTGATAGAATTTTATTCTAATATAATATCTATATAAGTTTATGCTTGAAAGTCTCATTGATTTTTTATACTTGAAAGTTGTTTTTTCCTGCAAAAAAACAGTTGTAAAATTGAAATTTGATTTAAGCAAACTTCTGTAACCATAAGGCTATATTAAAATTTACCTCTTGCACTGAGGTATTGGTAGTACTCAATTGATAAAAATAACATATTATGAATTTGAGAAAATATTAATAAATATAAAAAGCAAGATAGTATTAGGAAAGCATTACTACAGAAATAATTCAGGCTTTTAAAAATTGATTAATATATCTATGAATAAATATTAATTATTGCTCAAATGAGATAATATTCAGCATCACTTTATTCTTAATTTTAATTTTCTATGTTAAGTGCCAAGTAACTGTGTTCACAATAAGTAGACAGGAATAGGAGTCCATTATCACAATATCAATCCATTATTTAAACTCCTTTTGAGTAATGTGCCAAAAATTACATAGCATTTTATCTCCAAAATGATTTTTGAATTATCTGTAGCTTGATAACTGGATTATGTCCTCCTTCAGTACTGTTGAAAGTAAAAATCCGAAACCTCTGATTAGCAAAAAGATTTTTGTTTGTGCCCCGGAATTGTATTGTTTGTTTTTTTTGTTTGTTTTTTGTTTTTGTATTTTTATCTTTAGTAGGGATATGCTTAGCACATCAATTACGATGATTGGGAGAGCTTTCTTTTACAAAGAGAATTGACTTAAGAAAGAGAAAAGGCAATTGTCTTAAGAAAGGTGTGGGCAAGAGAACAACTAATAGCCTTCACCTCATACTCTTTTTTCCAAGTCCATCAATTTCAGAAAAGTACACATGGTAGTTGAAATTTTGGAATTTAATTCCCTTAAAATCAATTGAGTATAAAGTCCTTGGCGTATACTTCAGTTTGAAGTATGCTGTGTTAGAGCAAGTATAAAAGGTGTGATTTGGCTATGAGCTATTATCATAGTTTGGACCTATGTTTGAACCTAGTGAAGAGCTACTGAATGTCTGTGGACCAGAACCAGTGACATAATTAGTGCTGTACTTTAGGGAATAGAGAAGGGATAGATTCAACTGATCAAATGCACTATTCAGTGTAGTATGGATTCAAAGATGAAGAAAATAAATCTCCTGCCTTCCTGTAGTTTAGATTCTAATGGGAAAAGACAATAAATGAATACTAAAGCATGTCAGTGAGTGATGAATACTTTAAAAAATGTAAAACAGGGATTATTCTGGATAGTGCGGATACAAAGCCCCTGTTTCATGAGTTTACATCCTAATGGGGGAGACTAGAAATAAACAAAAACAAGAGCATAATTTCAATTAGTGATAGTGCTATTAAAAAAGTTAGGGGGTGCATGTGAAGGTTAGAGAGTTTATTTTTTAGAAAGGGTGGTCTGAGAGATGAGATGACATTTTAGGAGATCTGGGCCTTGACCCGAATAAGATGATCAAGTATGCTGTATGAACATTTAACTATTAAAAAGAATTTCACCAATTAGAATAGCATCATGAAGGCCAGAAACACAGAATACTTGACATATTTAAAGAAAATAAGAAAGCTAGCCTAGATGGAGTAGAGTTAGAAAGCATAGAAAAGTAGGAAATGAAGTTGGACAAGTAGCCAGGTGCAAAGTAACATAGGGCCCTGGGGGCATGGAAAAGACTGCTTTTTATGCTAGGACAGAGAAAATACTTTGTCCTGATTTATATATTAAAAGGATCACTCTGGCCACTTAACCCAGAATAGAATGCAAGAAGAGGGATTAGGACCTCTTGGATTAGGCTGGTAGAGGAAAAGGTTAAGATTATAGGCAAGGGATGGACTAATAATGATGTCTAATGTTTTTCTAAAAAATGCTAGAGTTACAAAATGAGAAGAGGAAGACATATTCCTAAGACACTGAAGGCAGAGTAACGGAAACCGAATATAGATGGCAGTGTCGTAGGAGAGAATGGGGAAAATAGGAGGCAGCTCTGAGGCTCTGAAAATTGATAATTAGGAGGATGTTGGTACCATTAATTACAATAAAACAGTGAAGACCAGTTTTGCAGAGAAAAGGGCAGATAGATTTTGACTATAGTGAGTATATCTCAATGAAGATGTTTAGCTGATATAGGCCATACATTCACTCTCGTCTCCAAATAGAATCTGAAGCCACTTTCATAAGGCTCAAAGAGGAAAAAACAAGGAGCTATTCTTTTAGGAGTGATTACTACTATGGGCAAAAATGCTTACATGAGAGTGGGAAATGAAAAGCCTGGGAGATAGATTTATTTGTAAATTCCTTTTAAAAATGTGGTATACCACAGTATGTAAAGATGGTTATGGAGCTACACTACCAAAGTTCAAATTCCTGCTACACTCTTTTCTGGTTAACTTTGAGCTAAATCTTCTGGCCTTAATTTCTTTATCTAGAAATTGCTATAATAGGACTTATCTGATTGGGTTATTGTGGAGCAGAAGTTGTTAATATAAATAAAGTTCGTGAAATTTCATAACTTCTGTAAACCTTGAATTGAAAAAAATTTAATTTTATTTCTATTAACCTCTCATGAAAATCTTGTTTTCTTCAATCATGAAGGCAGCCAACAAAACATGATGTTAGTAGTACATATGGCTTTATTTCCTGTAGAAATGAGATATTTTCATGTCACAATACAATGGTAACAGGTATTTTTAAATATTGTCATCATCACTACTTCAAAATTACCATATTTACTAAAATTGCTGTTAGATATGCTGCTAGATTGCATGATTTGCAGAAAGCATCTCCAGCCCTCATGCCACTTAAATGGCCAAGTGCCTTTTGGTCAATCATAATCACACCGTGAAGTCTGAATGTTTATGCCTTGGTTCTCACATCTACATGGCTTTCTAGTATTCACAAATAAAAATGTTTGTTGACCACCGGGTGGAAGGTGAATTGTTTTAATTTAATTAATGGTCTTTAATAATAATTGATTCCTTTGTAATCCTACGTAATTTTTGCATTTAGAAGTTTTAAGACTGGGTCAATAGGCTTCATCAGACTATGAAAGATATTCATGATCCAAGTGAAGAAATTTCAAGATAGAGGAATAAAAGGGTATATACGAAATAGTATAACAGTAATTGGCCCATATCAAATATTCAATAAACAGTCTGCTGCTATTCTTAAAATGTTCAGAGAGCAGGGATTGAATTAAGTACTATTAATTTTTGCATTCGAAGAGTCTAGACCAGCGCACCGCACTTTGGCGCTCCATGAATGCTGAATGAAAGCGAAATGAATCAACCAAATGGTGTGTAGATTGGCTCCTCAGGGCCCCTCACTTAGGTCTGCAAGAAACAGCTGTAAAGTCGTGGGCGACTTCTACGCATCCAAGGGGTCTGGATTATGTTAGCGGGCTTCAGAGGCTCAGCATGTGAGTCACAGCTGTGTCCCTAAAAATGTCCACTGGGAACGGAGACTGACTGCCCTTGGCAAGAATGACCAGGTCCTTACTAAGTCCTCTTAGCTCTTCTCCATCACCAAGAAGGCAATTATATCTGTCCATGGCTCCAGGTAAAATGTTGGACAGGCCCTTCGCATATTCCTGGAATCTAGTATTGGCTTCAATAGCTGGACATTCCAGCCAGATCAGCGAGCAGGAAAGCGTACACTCTGCAGCGCAGGTCTCAGGGAAAATTGCGGAGAGCGCAGCGCGCGCGGAGGCCGTTCCGTCGCCACGCCCACTTCCTGCCCCGTCCCGCGCCTTTCCAGGTCCCCTCTGCCGGTGAACCGGATGCTGTCAGTTTCCTCCACTGCGTCCTCGGCCGCTGCACAGGTCCCTGGCGAAGCCGCGGGCACGCACGAGGGCACAGGCAGGGGGCTCCCGGCGGCTGGTCTGGCAGGTGCAGAGCGCCGGTAGGAGCTGGGCGCGCACGGTTACCGAGCGTGGAGGAGACACTGCCCTGCGGCGATGGGTGCCAAGGGCGCTCCTTCACGCCGAAGACAGGGAGGGCGGCGGCTGAGGTACCTGCCCACGGGGAGCTTTCCGTTTCTCCTGCTTCTGCTGCTCCTCTGCATCCAGCTCGGGGGAGGACAGAAGAAAAAAGAGGTATATCGCATCCCCTTGGCCTTCCCCTGCGGGCTAAAGTGGGCTGGGGCGGCCCTGGGCGTGCCCGGGCGAGCCGCGTTGCTAGGCAGCCCCGTCGCGTTGCTAGGCAGCCTGGCCGCCGGGCGCGGCGGTGGCCGCCTTGGCGCGGGAGTCCAGTCATTGGAAAGCAATGTGCGAGGCCTTTAGGTCCTACAGATGGGGAGTTAGCTCAGTCCTTTCTCCTAAAACAACCAAGCGTCCCACGTCTGCGCCTCAGCACTTCACGCCTTTCAGACACAGGGCGCTTTTGACCCTAAGTTGGAGGTGAACCTTCTGGCGCTCGAGTTACTAAAAGGGGCGTGTTGGGTGTGGAAAACCTTTGGGAGTAGAAAACCTACAGGAACTATGCCATATTTTCATTACTCTGCTCCCTTCGTCATCGGTTTCCGGAGGCAACAGAGCATATTGAGAATGTGTTTTAAGTTATTCTTTATTCTTAATTATTTATTTTTATAGCTGTATGTTTACGTTGAACTCAGTGTATAATTGTGAGAGTAACCTCACATTGTTATACAAATTTGTGAAGGTCAGATCACCTGATTTCAATCTTAATCCTCTAATAACTTTGATGAGGGCGAGGGTTGAAGTAACTAAAGTAGTTGTGGAGTTTGTATCAGTTATCCATTCTTTACCTAGGATAGTCGACCTAGTAGGATCAGAAAAAAAATCATTTTGGAAATGTGAGTAAGGTTTTCAATGCTATATCATTGTAGTAAAGATATTCTCTTTGTATAATTCAAGATGGTTTTTCCTGATGTTTTACACACGTGACTCAAATCTAATTCATGTTTAAAATATTACCACAACTTTCTTGATAGTTGGGTAGGGAGAGTGAAAAAAAAAAAAAAGCCTTTGATACCATCAACAAAATAATTCTGATTCTCTTGGTCTTTACCTTTTGCCTGAAAAAACTCTGAACTCAATTTCTTCTCTTTAGCTTTTTAATATTAACATTAAAGTAGGCCACACAAAATTCTTGGTGGAATTCAGCCAAGAGGTTTAGAGAAGAACCATTGTCAAATTAAAAGTGTATTTTCAAATGTAAATTAAAGATATGTTTTCTAGCATTTGCTATTTAAAAACAATATTCCAAGAGTTTTAGATTTTATAGTTTTTCTTGAGAAAGGGAGGAGATTAAAAAGTAGAGTTTTGTTGTTGTTGTTGTTGTTGTTGATTACCAGAGCAGACAGCAGTAAAAAAAATGAGGGACTGCAGAGAAATTATGATTTTTTTTTATCTCCTAGAAAGATTACAGAGACCACAGTAACTTTCAGTTGAAAGAAAAAAAAAACCAAACAAACCCTAAAAAGAAGTCTAGAAAGCGTACATCTTCGAAACATCTTAGCATCTCCAATTATAAGACTACTTTAACATGTGAAAACATTTGTTAATCTAGTACAATTGTAAATTATGATAACGTTTCCATTAAAATATTTTTTATAAAATATATTTTAAAAATAAAAAAATAGGGAGAAAATTGTTGATTAAAAAAGATTGTCTTCCCAAACTCCTTTTCTTTTAAACAAGAGAGTCTAAAATAGGCATAACTGGTTTTATTACACTTCTCTTTACTGCACTTCACAGATATGTTTTTTACAAATTCAAGGCAAGACACTTCACCAGCAAAAAGTTTATGACTCATTTTATTGCGATACTTGCTTTATTGTGGTGGCAGTCTGGAGCTGAACCCACAACACTATCTCTGAGTTACTCTGTGCTATTATTTGGTGGTAGTGCAGAATATACATATTTTAGGAAAAGAAGAGCAAAATAACAAATAGTTGAACTTTTAAAACTTTATTCAGTGAGCATGCATATCTCTGAAATGTTGTCCAGTTCTCTGTGTGATACTCAGTACAAAAACTGATCTCTTCCAATACTGGAAGAAAAACAGAACCAGAAAGTATAGCAGTAGGACCTTACATGTTACTGACATAAGTACCAGAGTGGACTTGGCATGCATGATGTATTCCTTCATTCTGGGGAAGGCCGATTGAAGTTTAAAGTTGAGCCTGGAGTTATTAAAAACTAATTTTTGAATCCTCACTCATGTTGTGATATGACTTTGTAGGAGACTAGATTCTTAGTAGTGTATCATTTGCTTTTCTAGTACATTGTGAGCTTCTTTTATTTTGATGGTTTCTGTATTACGTCGTTAACACATCAACTAATCACCTTTATGTAGAATTTTACTCTATAATGAACTCTTCTGATAATATAAAAAGAACTCAAATTCCATAATTATTTCCAGTGGATTGACTGCCATAATCAAAAGCAGCTATTATAATATCCTTTCCACAAGAAAATTATTAGCTATAACCTACATGTATTAAGAAAGTGTGAACCTAAGTTTCTGTTCCATCTTCTCCCCCACTCCCTCAAAACTGTGCCTTCTACAGTCCCTAACACCAACTGGAGCATTTTCATACATCTATTTGCCAAAGCCAGAAATTTGGGCAGATTTCAAACCTTTACTCACTAGTGTCTTTTTTTCACCCTCTTTCCTGAAGGTATCTTTCCTAAAGATAAATCTAAAGATATCCCCCTGAGACTGATAACTAATGCTGTCTTTGAGGAGTACTGTTTAAGTATTGTTGAAATTCCTGTAGGATGCAATCCAAAGTAATTTGCAAGCTATTTAGTGCTTTTTCTTGGTGAGCCTTTGTCTAACGCTCCTGTTCTGTATCTCACCACTCTTACATGCTTCCCTCCAGTGTCAATTTAGGCAAGTTACCCTTCCTCCCATTTTAGATGCAGGACTCCTCCTCTTTGCTCACCTAGCTGGATCTCTGTGCTTATTTCTCTGTAGCACTTATGTGAATTTTTGTCTATTAGTACAGATGAGACCCTGGTGGTGGGCAGCAGAAATGGTATTGAGGTTCATTTCTGGAAATGACGAGGATAGGAGCTGAAAGGAAAGAGTATAAGAATGTTTATATGGACTTTACTCAATATTTAGAATAATAGGAAGATGAAGAATTCATTAGATGATAGTGTCTAAACACGGTAATGTTATATTTTTAATGTATAACTCATAAAGGAGCAGGAAGATGTAAAATGAAGAGGGTGCTAGCTCTCCTCTTGTCGTCGGGTAAAAGTTAAGGAGAATGAATGGTTTCCATCTTAGTAGCTCTAGGGTTCTGGCAAAGAGTAAGAGAACACTCATTACAGGTATATAAAATGTAAGGAATTATTGTGATTTTGAAAATTTTACATAAGCTTTTAAATTTGATTTGTTGACAGTATTGCAGTCTGAAAATGAGAAATTGTTAGGCAGTTAATGGTAATCTTCATTTCTCTCATATCTATTTTCAAGGTTTCAAACCAATTTTCTGATATTATGACATTTTTATGAATCATAAACTTTTTGTGTTTGCAGTATTTCACAGTTGTATAAAATTGCTTCTGTTTAAATGATTTCGTAGAAATTTGACATTTACTATTTTAAAAATTGCAGACTTTAACAGTATAAACTTTAGCTAAATTTCTTATGGACTGTTTCAGCTGTGAATCATTTTATGTGATATGTCAGTATGAATTCAGAATAATTCATACTTTTGTGATTAAAGATATATCAATACTATATGATTTCTGGATATAAATTATTAAAACCATTAACAATAGAGGTAAGAACCAATTTTTCAGTAAGCTTTTATATCTAAGAAAGAAATGGAAACACAGTAGCAATAACAACTAGTCAGGAATCTCTGGCTTCAGAGATTTTAGAGATTAAAAACTGTTTGTAGCATTTTCATATAATCAGGGGTGTCATTGAAGAATAATTGCCTGAGGTTAGTACTGCATTGGTTTACCTACCATGAATTTATTTTGAGATTTTTATCATTTGTAAATTGTATATGACATGTTCTAAAATAATCTTATCTCTTAGAAAGTGTCCGTAGCTAATAATAGAACTGCTTGGCAATTATCTTTCCATCATTTTACATGTTCCTCTTAAGATGAATAATCCACTATGATCATTAAGAAATAAGATTCTCTGAAAAACAAATAAAATAATAAAGTAAACAACTCTTTTATAAAAAGAAAGAAATGGGATATTAATACAAAGGTGATTTGTGAGTATGTTAGTTTTCCATCAATGCATAACAAATTACTGCAAATTTAGTGAATAGAAACAACACCCATTTTTAAATTTCAGTTTCTATAGGTTAGATGTATGGCATAGCTAGGTTTTCTGTTCAGGATCTTACAGGCTGAAATTAAGGTGGGCGAGACTGCATTCTTACCTGGATCTCTAGGTCCTCTTTTCAGCTCTTTTAGGTTTTTGGCAGAATTCAATTCCTGGCAGTCATAGGACCGCTTTCCTTATTTTTTGCTGGCTGTGTTCTCTCAGTTCTTTGAGATACCTTCATGTTCTAGCTTTGTGGCCCTCTCCATACCAGTCTAAAACAGGGGTGTTTACTTTCTTCCAGACCAGTAGGATCTCCTCTCTGACATTGCACTTGTTTGGAAAATGCTCACCTGATGAGGTTAGGCCCACCCAGTGTAATTTCTCTTTTGAGTAACTTAAAGTTAACTGGTTAGGAACTTTCTGAAAATCTTTGCAGTATAAAGTAACTTAATTGTGAGAGTGCTATTCCATTGCATTCACAAGTCTTGTCCATATTCATGGAGAGGGAATTATATAAAAGATATGTGTCACTGGCAAATTTTTTAGAATTCTACTAACATGGGTGAGCTTACACTTTGAGATTTTTATATATATTTAAATAGTAGCTTATAAACATAAACAGCTATGATAGTGTATAGAAAATGTTATTTAAGACATTTAACAATGACTATAAAATTAAAGTGATAACGTGTATCAGTCAGAATTCAATCAGAGAAACAGGTCCACAAGATGAACACACATGGATGTATGTATGTATCTATCTGGATTTGTTACAGGGATTTGACCTCATAGAATGATGGGAGCCGGTTAAATAAAGATACTGTTTGCA